GTGAGCACTCTCAAGACCAACCGCTCCATATTAATCAGTTCTTTAAGAATTTGATTTGAAAAGGCAATATACAAAAAGTGTATGTGTCACATTGGCTGTTTCTTGCAACCTTCTACACCGTAAGGCAAACAAACTTAAAATACTAGACCCACTACCTAATAATGAGGCATTACTTGTGGAACACATTAATTTCTTAGATATATGGTCCTTTAGAAGTTTGATAAGGCCAGTTATAATAAGACAAAGTTAAACCTGCATACCAGTTCCCCAAATCTTCGGGCTAGCTCCATGCCTTGTTTTGGATTAGTAGGTAAACTAATCTTTTACTTGCTACATCAAAAAAATCAGTCAGATAGTCTCTCATAAAACAAACTGTGCTGATTTTCATGCTCATAATCACAATAAGGAAATGCAAAAATTTGAAAAAGACATAGAAAAAACGCCTTTATTTCATTACCAATCTCAGTAACTGAATTCTTCACTCTTATAAAGCCAGCCTTCATGCCCAACCAATTCATTAGTGATACTACCCTTCAAAAAGCTTCCAGTTAAAACAGAAGAATCAAAAAAATTGATACTACCTTTTTAATTCACAGAAGCTTAGGGAAATTGGTTTATCTAATGCACTGCTGTTTTGACTTCTTGAAGGAGAGGTGTCTTGCAACTCCAAACTACTTACATCAAATATCTAACTTTTCAATCAGTTCCTAAGCAGGTTTCAAGACCTATAGCACTTCACTGGGAACTCTTTAACCTGATCATTTAAGCTAACCTCCTTTTAAAGAATTTCCAAATGGGAAAACCAAATGAGAAAGGATAAGAGGAAGGAGACCAGCTAGCAAGTGATAAAAAAAAGCAACGACAGATTAGTACAGCCTTTGAGTGCATAAGCAGTTTGCAGTTCATGCAGAGAAAGAAAGAATTCCGTGATGCACAACTGACATTTTTGGGAACAGAGGCAAACTTATAAAAATAAAGACACAGGATGTTGCTGAATGAATTGCTGAGAGGTACAAGTTGCTCTCATTGATAAGGGTACACAGAAAGGCTAGAAAGACGGATTGCCACGCTACAACATTTTTATCTTATTCTAAATAGAGAACAGTGAAAAAAGGGATGTGAGCTACTTCTGAAGGTCTTTCCTTTACAACTCAATTTGCTAATAGTTAAGCATGAACTGATGCTACAAAGTAAAATTAGACATGATTAAGCACATTAGTATATTGCTAACATAGGCCTAGAGTCTGGGATAACTTAAATTAATACAAAACCCAGAGTGTTTACCACTAATGAGCAAACCATTTAGAACCTGAATGTTTCTCACTTCAACATTGTTACTAAGAGCATAAAAATATACTAACATACATATACACACACACCAACATTCAGTCCACTTGAATTTAATTTGTCACAGTGAAGAATCACTAACAGATTTTAATAATCTTCCGCAAAAGGATCTTAGAGATGATATCAGCAGTAGTATTACAGATGGCTGTAATAGCAGTGGCCTAGAAAACATTCTGTTGTCACTTTAAAATAAAATTATCTGCCAGATTTTCATATCTTGCAGAAAAACAGATAATTCGGCTGATCTCAAAGATGAGCAATTACTCACTAATGTCACAGAAAAAATAAATACACTTTCTCGTCATGCCTTGGACTCAACTTTCCTTCAGACAATTGTCTGTGGCACTTTTAGAACTTCTCTTCTTCGGGGCAATTAGGAATCCAGCTAAATTAGCTAGCTAATCATCCAGCTTAATAGCATAATTCAGTTAGCATCACTACAAAGACGTATTTGACAACAGTAAAGGACTCAAACTTCAAAACAAAACTGAGGATATTATTTAGGTTTTTAAGTGCCTTCAATGAGGAAGCATGACCACTCCACATTAAAAAGCAACCCAATTAAGCTGGCTTGAAAATACCCTGCTGTACAACACTTCATCTTCAAAGACACAGACCAAATGGCTGCAGTTTTGCATATTGCTCTTTTTACATGACAACAGTTTAGTCTCAACTGATCTAAGTAATCTAAACTCAGAATGCTTGTAACCTTTGAGGAAAAAAAGGAAGAATGTTATATTAACAGAAAGGAATACTACTGGTATTTCCTAGAAAATATTCTCTCCACCCTCAAAGGTTATTTAACATATATTGCAATGGAATAAAATCTCTTGCAATTGTTACATTTCTACCAGAGAAAGAATAAAAGGTTTCTTAAGTGCTGTGATTGCCAAAAGAGTGATGTGATATGAACACAATTTGAAATTTCTACTAACTGGAATTTAACAAATTAAATATGTATTTTTCTAACCTATAAAATTAAAAAAAAAGAAATTCAATCATTTTGGAAGATACAATTTCAAATCTAATTTTGATTCCACATTACTATACTGTTCTCAAAAGATAAATTACTACCTTTAAAACTGATGTTATTTAGAAAACTACTGCAATTCAAGTTAAATATACAAGTGAATTTTTCAAAATATTTGTTAATGGGAAGCGTAGAACAATTTTTAAACTTTTCTCGATACACAGTGATAATTAGCATCTACTAGTTTTTCTTACATGACATATGATGTTGGTTTCTAAAGCAGCAAAATTCAGTGAATCTTAAGTTTGAATCAAATTTCAAAGCATTTAAAGAAGATATGTAATTATCACACTGGTGCGACTACAGCACTATTTTCTTTACTCTCAAATCTTTCTTCAGGCATTCACAAAGTTTTTCCAAAACAAAACTTCCAAAGAAATAGGTGTAACTTAGATTGTCAGAACCAAATATGCAGCAGACAAGAATTTTTTTTTTTCCCCAAGTAGCACCTTACAAAGCTAAATTATTTTTATTTTGGACTGAAAGCTCCAAACCTCATATAGACTTTACAGCTGGCATTTTGAGTCCTTCGGTATTAAATTTAGACTTCCTTGTGTATTATCCCAATCACTTTGCCCCTAAATATATTCAAAGAGTAAGACACCAAATAGTAAAATTAAGAGGAAACCATAAAAAAGCCTTTGAAGATGAAGTAAGCTACTAATAGAAAAAACGTTGTTGGTTACTACTCATTTTTCCACTGATAAGTGTGAAGTACTGCCCTGGGAAACATTCTTCTAGTCAACTATTGTTTGAACAAAAGTAGTAAAGTTTAAGTAAAAATCACTTTCATTTGAAGTTTGCGTACAGAACTAAAAACATGACTTGAACAACACTGAATTCAGCCAATGTTTTAATTGCTCATACAGCTAAATAACATTAAATGTCTAAATTTCATTTGCTTGCACTGATGTAAGTGTATATTCCCTCAAAAAGAGAGCTAGTTCTATTATCTTAGGCTTTCACTAAGAAACATGTAGCAGAAATTCCACATACAAAAAATCCACGGTTTTCTGCACCTGTTAATTTCAGTTTGGCAATTGTGAAGTAGGGAATAATACGAACATTGTGAACATTACTGCAAAGAGCGCTTAATATAAAAACAAGAAATATGTCATGCACTACAGGAAACTAATATTATAAAAAGCAAAATAACTGATTTAAGTCATGCAAAGAAGCAGAAAATACCTGTACTGAGCCACCATGTCTGTCAGCTGCTAGGTGAGCCCTCAAATGATGTGGATTGGCTTGCTGTGAGTCCCAAGCTGCCTTATGGTCTGTTGACTATCATTTTTGCATGCATTAGGAATATATGCAAAAGAAGAAATAAAAATTCCAAAATTAAACAATTTATGTATTATTATATATTTTAAAAAAGCACAGAAGCACTACATACTCAATAGCTCTATAAATTGTACATCCACACTATCTGCATACTTACATATGCCCATACATACATTTTCACAGAGAAGTAAAGTAGCTAAAAGTCAAAATCCAAGAAACAATGTCCACCAACACAACACTGTAATTTAGCTTAGGTAAATGGACATAGATCTAAATTCCTAACTTTTTTACCACCTTGTTCATTATCCTGGTTTAAAAAAAAGGAAAAAGTTATTACATACATGTTAGAACCCCAATACATGATATACTACATGGGGAAGAGACAGTCACCTAAAACAGTAAACAATAAAATTTAAAGAAGTATCAGCAGAGAAAAAATTCACTACTGACGTAAGCTATGTTATCTCATAGCATCAAAAAGGCAACCTCTTAGGACATCTTATGATCCACAAATGTAGAAATACATTAAGGAGGACTTATTCCAAGAAAAAACAAGAAAACCTAGAGTAAATTTGATTTTGGAGTTCTAATAAAAGTATCACAATAGCACAAGTCACTAGACAAAAGACAAAGTAATACTGAATCTTACATGAGCAGTTTACCTGATTTTTGGATTGTTGCATTTTATCTCTGTGCTGATATGCTTCTCTGTTTGAAGACAGTGCAGGGTCCAAAAGTATTGAACCCACTGGAGTAGGCTACAAATATAAATAATATGTAGCGACTGGTAAAAAAAATAAATTTCTAAGTCTTACCAAAAGTTACTGGTTTGTAATAGAAATTAATCTTCACATCTGAGTTTCCCAATAATCAAAATTATCAAATTAAAGCGAACGCTTCACCAGATATTTACTAATACCAAAAAGAAAAAAAGGCAAACCAAGACTTACACAATTTCATGAAGTAGCAATTTTGAGTATTATCAGACATTAATTTTCTGAAAGACTTTAGGCTCATATTTTCTGCAGCTAGCAACAGGACATTCTGACGAAAGGTTTAAAGTGATTTTTAGTGCTAAACACTGAAAAAAGGTTTAGCAATAAAATACAACTCTGTCAGAGAGTCACAGAGGAACTACGGCGTAAAACGTATAATCCGAAGTTGTCCAACTTACACACACCACCCCTCCCCTACTTACCAAAAAGCAGCAAGGAAAAATTTGAGGTGCTGAAAAATTTATCTTCTACCATTTCTTTAAAGAATATAAACACAGTACTTTCTGTAACTTTAGATGCCCTGTGATGGAAACTGGTATTCTACATCATATTTCATTAGAACAATGTATATAAAGTACAGAAAGTTTCTTCATAATGAACTGATAAATATCTGGAGTATACCTCAGATGCAGAGAAGTGATTGCTCTACATTTCAGAAATACTGGGAAAAAGAAAGTTCCCAAAGCAAGAAAACACATGCAATAATGACAATCACCTGCAAAGTTTTAAACTCCTTCAAGTCAAAAGCCAGTCTGAATTCTACAACCTCATTTTGGATTGGAGAGAGAAATTACTTTGATAGTAAGAGTATGTGTTTGGAAAGAAACTCAATATAAAACATCTCAAGCCAAAAGATAATGTTTGGAAATGTATCTGAAAAGAGGTTTGTAATAGCAGCTGTTCACAACTCTAACAGCAGCCATGCGATGCACATGTATTCTGAAACCAAAGACTAACACTGGCTCAAAACTGATCACACAAAAACCCCAGTATATTACTAATAGCTTATTGGTACTCACCAACTGTTTGCCAATCCAGTCATATTCATAATCAAACATATAGCCTTTCCGATCAAGTACGTCTGTGAAGAGCTTTCTTAAATAGTCATAGTCCGGCTTTTCAAAAAAATCTAGCCTTCTTACATAACGTAGATATGTAGCCATTTCCTCTATATAAATAAGAAATGTACATAATTGCCAGACCTGTTTTAATGGTACTCAAAAAACAGTACTTATTATTATATTTTAAAGCAACTTCTACCTCTCACAATAAAACCTGGACAGTTTTTCACCATGAATCTGTGAATTACCAGAAATAAAAGCTACTTAATACTAATAATATTCTTCAAGATACACTGCCATATTCTGAACATATTCTACCAAGTGACCTCCCACTAATTTCCCCTTTGAATTACCTGTTGGGATCTTCTATTCAACTTTCCAATCCTGATGCACAATGTGCCAAAAAAGTGAGGAGACAAATGCCTCTTTTTTTAAACTATTGTTTTTTTGTCCAGTTAATTGTACAAAGACAAGCCTAAGGAAAGGTAAAGAGGGGGACATACAAATGTACAGGGTGTACTATGTCGCAGAGAACACCTGTTACTGGAATGTAACCTTCCTTCCTTTAAGGGAGGATCCACATGTATGTTCTGAAGTGGGCAACTCCAACTGTCCTGACAAAAAAAGTCAGTATAGGCTCTGTTGAGCTATAACTGTAGTATGACTATGGAAGGCTGCAGCAGCGTTGATTGCTTCAGGCATCATGTTATGTGAAGGTATTGAGCAGAAGTGGTGAATATCCTGAACAGCAACACTGCAGAGAAGTACTAAGGTTACCTGAGCTCTTGTAGAATGACTTCTGACCACTGTCAGTTTAATATCACAGTTTAAATACCATATCAGCATACAAATGGAGATTCATTTGGGTAGGTGTTACATGGAAATTATAAGATTCTCCCAGTAGTGGAGACAACCAGGGAGATTTCTGAAAGGGCCTGGACCTGTAAAGATAAAAGGAAAGAGCTTTCCTGGTCATCGAAGTGTATGAAGTACAGACCGCACACTAGCAGCCAGAATCTTCTAGTTAGGAGAACAGTCCAGCGCAAGCCTCTTGGCAGGTGAGTAAAGCATAGGGAAGTCCCGTTCTTGATAATGGGTATAAGCCATGAAAGACTTCTGAGATTAGCTGTAAGGAACAAGCATCCTTATGAACAGAAGACTGTAAGAATCCAAGGGCTGAAAGGAAGGACCCATGAACATCTGAAGCACAAACTTCAAATCCCATTGAGAAACTGCTCAGACATATGACTACATTTGCAGTAACTCCTTCAGGAATCAGTGAAATGAGGGGCATGTGGTAATACAACAGTCTAAGAAAACAGCAGATGAAATGTTAACAAGCTTTCACAAAAGACCAAGTCCTACAGATCCTTCTACTCCAGCAGTTATTACAAGAACAAACTACTGGAATCAGCGAAGAGAGCAATTGAGCTGAAATTTTGGTTCATTCAGACTGCATCCATGCAAGCCTTCCTATTATAGAATAAAAAAAAAGGTGGGGAAAAGAAAAATCACACTACAGTGGTTTGGAATAGAGTACTGCAATAACAGCTCATTCTGATATGGATCAGGTGAGACATTTGATCTGAGCCTGGGACATGAGCTCCAGATGGACAGAGCTCTTAAAATCTAACTTGTTTAGGAACCTTTGTAGCCCATGAAAGAATGGAAAACCACACCCTGGCAAGCCATTCTGAGAAGCAGTGACTCCTCACTCTCAAGCCAAAAAGGCTGTTCACATGGTCCCAAAATACAAGAGAAGGCACTTCTATATTACTAGAGGACAAATAAGGTTAAAAGCAGATGCCACCAGCACTCACTGATCCTGTGAAGAGGTATGTATGTCAGAAGCAGCACAACAGTCTCACTGCACACTCACCCTGAGCCACACAACACATTCCAGTAGGTCTGGAGAAGCCGACATTTTGTGGCACAAACAAGGTGCTATAAGAAGCCTATCTTCTGACAGAGGATGGCTGAGCAGTGCAGAGGCAGTGCTAAGACCAAGCTATGCTAAGTTAAACTCTTTCAGAGGTAGTAGGGTAGAAAGAGGGGAAAGTGAAAGGTTTGAGACCAGCTTGATAACAAAAAGTTGTAAGGTAGAATCATGTAGGGGCTGTCAAGAATGCACCACAGGACAACGGTGCCAAGACATTCCAAATTACTCAGTTCTGACAAAACCAGACTATTAAGAGCTATGTTTTAGGCACGAGCAAATGGAGCAGTGGATAGGAGGAATTCCTGGCACCTAAAGACTCTTCAGCAATACTAGCCAAGGAGATCAGTGTTTGAAGAAGCTGAAGAGAAATGTTGACACATTGCTTAGAGACCTCTTTAACCATACTTTCCCAATGTAAACCGGAACCCAAGCATGCAAGGCATGTCTTCAGAAGTATGAAGGCTGGAGTTGAGCCCTTCAACGTAGCTGCATCTATTAAAAATGGTGACTCAAAAAATCAAGTAACATTCTTATCATGCATTTGAAGCAGAAACACCAGAGTATAAATCCTTGCTCATATTTTATACAAGGCTTGAAACAGCAATAGCGTTGCACACTCAAAGACAGTACAATTCCACAGAACACAGGATGAAAAAGATGGATTTCACATATGACAAAGACCAAAGTACCATTCACTAATACCACAGAGTTCTCTTGGCTTATGGAACATCGATATGCTAGGTCAGTCTGCAGGCTAACTGGAAAGAATTTAAATTATGATGGACGTATTTCTCATTCTATTCTATGTCTTAAGTGACAAGAAGGACAGGAAATAGAAAACCCTCAGAAATTGGACATGCAAAAACTTCCACATACAAGAATATATTTATTATGAAACTGTATATATGTACAATAAAAGAAGTTTATCTTTTGTGTTCTCCAAGGTCAAATACCTTTTCCCTCTTCCATTTCAGATCCAATCCTGTCAACAAGCATGTACATGATTACATTTGGTGGAAACAGTCCAATATATGGATTATTTCCAGGAATTGTACCATATATACACCTTAAATTACATTTTTACTTTTTAAAGGATTCTAGAAACTACTTAAAAATAATATGCAAGACATGTATGCATTAGATTAGATCATTAAATCCAAAAGATTTATATTGCAGAACAGGTTTTCTTCCCCATATTTAAACTTGTCAATTCACCAAACATATATTCAGACATTCGCCCCAAGTTCTGTAACAAAAGTCAATTTCACTTGATATTTTTTTTTCTTTAATGCACAGAAGTCAAATGAAAAACATAAGAAAAAGGGATAAGGGACTAGTTTTTACCGCAGGGTTGGAAACAACTTCAAGAGGCCACCTAGTACACCACTTTATCCCATAGAAAATTGGTTATAGCCTTGTCTGTCTGGTTTCTTTTCACTCTAAGTCCAGTGAACAAAACTCCATAGTGTCCCGATGGCAATCCCTTCATGCTCTTCACTGTATTTAAAACACAGGAGCTCAAGTCTAAACTTCACTGTTTTGGATTATATCCATTACTTTGTCCTAGCTGCTGTGGATGTAGCAAACTGATTCCTTTCATGTTTGTAGCAGCCAAAAGGTACAGGAGAACTTCCTTCCCTCACAATCTTGATTAAATCAATCTTTATTTCTTCAGTCTTTGGTGATAGGTCTAGCAAATAACTCCCACTTCTTTATGAGATACCCTTAAAATAGGATACATTTTCTTGGGAGTACAGTCCCCAGAATCAAACCTCCTTCTTCAGCTGAGGCTTCACAGAATCAAGTAGAGTGGAAATGGCCATTCATGTGTCTTTCAGGCTACATCCTGCTTATATAATCCATTTTAGTATAGGGTTTGTTTGTTTTTAAAAATATAGCATGACAATATTCACTTGCATTTACTTTGCAACTGACTGACTTTGAGTCATTGCCTAAGGACCCTTTCTATACCCAGTAACTCTTAATTTGGATTTGATTCTATCTTCATATACTACCTTATATTTTTAAGACTGTAATCTTTCAGGATCCTTTCATTCTAACACCACTGTCAAGCCTACAAATTTCAATCATCATTTGTAAGTTTAATAAACATTTTCAATTATACAAGGCACTCAAGAATACTGAACAGAACCAGCACAGATCTCTGTGAAATACCATTTCATGTTTCAAATTTTACAACAATATACTTAACTACTTCAAATTGGTTTACACTCTTCTTCCCATAGTAGATTTATTTTTATCATGCTTTTAAGATTATTTGTGAGGATATCTAAAAAGAGCATCAAAAGCAAAAGCACTAAGATTTCACGACATAAAACATCTGCCTCCTCTCCACAAGGCCTGCTGTGAACAGGATTTCCTTTCATAAGAGGAAATCAAATCAGTTTGTCATGAGCTATTCTCAGCAAATCCATTTTGCCTATTAATGACATTGTGATTACTTTCCAAGGTGCTTATTTTCATTTTGGTAAAATCATGTCCATGTCCATGTCATGTGTGTGTCCCAAGTTGATCAGACCAACTTTCAAAAAAAGGTCATATTTTCTTCTCTCCATTTTTCCAATACTTCAATGATTCTCCATACACTTATGGAGAACTAGAAGTGACACCTGAAACTACTTGCAAGCTATTTTATATATTATTTCAACCTGTTCCTAATGCAGTTTGTTTTAAAAAGGGATATCAGATTTGAGCTGGAGAGGCTTGCAAAATTCAGGTGTGATGATACTAGCATAGATTAGTTGATCACCGTAAGAATACGTATCATAATATTTTTTTAATGCTTTTTTAGAAGAATCTATCTTTGAAGAACACCAGCATTAGCTTACTGCTGCTTCAAAGGGTAATTTTTGTATCTATTACCATTGTACATAATACACATATTTGGAAGCATTATTTTATTTATTTTTAAAACCAGGTATTAAATCTATCTATGCCAGTTTCATTTTCTAAATCAATACACAACTTTTTTATTAACAATAGACATTACCTGGGAAGTTTTCACACAATACTTCTATAGGGGTTGCTCGTTTTGTGTCTCCAATTTTCTGGTAACGTTCTTTTAATGTATCAGCCTATGATAAAAGAATAAAACAAGCTTCTGAAGTTATACAGCTTGCAGACCATCTTTCAAAAAGACAGATAATATGGCAAGAAAAGCTGATAATCTGAAAGTAGGATAAAGGAAGATATCAAAACCCACTACCTTCAAACCTTGCCATGGAAGGCTTCCTCTGAGAAAATACATAAACATATGACCTAATGCTTCCAAATCATCTCTTCTACTTTGCTCTGAAAGAAAATTCAAATATTATTAGAACAGTCAATCGGCATAATTTTACATTATGTTTAAAAGGTTAGCTTCCAAGTTATGTAAAAATAACTGGGAGGTATAAAGCAATCCAACTGGGAGGTTCGGGGGGCTCTTGTGTACTGTGGACTCCATTAAGAACACAGCTAAAACAAAAAAAGCAGATGTAGACTGCAGGTATATTCATCTCAACAATACTTTAAACAGATTATCCTCCTATAAGAAATTGTTCTTATTTTAAAATATACTTTGACTCTTTACAAATATAATTGCATTTTAATTCTAATACTTTTGATCCATTAGTTGTGAACTTGAAACAATTTAATAAAGCTTTAACTGAACTCATTTTTACTCTATAAAATCACGGGAAAGATGGTATGTTTCTCAGGGACCCCTTGTAGAATTTCTGAGTAAGCTAAAGATGGAATGAAGAAAGCTCAGAACTCTTATTTGATCAGAAAGCAGCATGGAAAGGCACGTACATACAGCTTGCTCTCAAGTCTAGCTGACTTAAAAACTAAGTTACAGAAGACAATGTCTGGCATGGCTACATGCAGAGCAGTGGCAGTCCTTCAGGAAGTCCACAGGAAGTTAAAGAAAAAGGAAAGTGACAAGCAAAATGCAGTGCATTCAAAGTTTTCAAAGAACATTTCACATTATTTTAAAATAAAATCCATTACTCTTAGGAAAACTGAATGAATAGAGAATAGTAAAAGCCTTTAAATGACTAGCAGAAAACAGATTTTTACATTTCCACCTGATTTTATTCTGCACTGCTGTTGAAAGAGCTACACAGTGTATTCTGTTTTGTAGTAACAGGTATTTACCTCTAACTTTGATTTCCTCCCTGACATATGGCAGAATATCTTAACATGTTTTCTACTCAGTATTTTCACAGAGAAAATCACTATGCTTTGACAGCAAAAGAAATGGAGCAGAAAAGTAGATGAAAAGAGGATTGTTAGATTTTGAACACAGGAAAGTTAACAAAGCCAACCTGGCTTTGATATGATCAACATAAAACATTGCCACAAATACACTGCATCTGAAAAACAATTCTTTATCTTCATATGAAAAGAACAATTTACTTATTACTGTTTTCTATCCTTATCTCCTCCTTTGAACACTGAGTAAATACATGCTAGCAAATGAGTAAGAAAATACTAAAAGATGTATAGCAATTCAGAGCATGGGCTACATTTAGCCCCTTACTTCCATTACATATCTGCCAGTCATATGAGGTTCTTTCACAGTCATTCCTCCTTCACTTGTTTCCAATTCCCTTGCCAACACTCTTCTTGTATGTGTCCACTCTGCCACTCTTGTTGTCCACTGCTGCCACTTTTCTCAGCAAGTGCCCTCCAGACAATCTGGTCTTACTTGCATTTCCCTGCCAATCCTCCAACATCCCACCTGCTGACCATATGCTATCCTGATGCAACCACACAGGTTAAAAAGAAAGCAGGAATAAGCAGAAGAGTTCTGTGCCTGACAGGTTTCAGTACATGAAGGAAATGCTGACTCCAGCTGCCTGCAAAAATCTTGTGCTCTTTATGAGATAGGGTGGACATGGAGGTAATGAGTACTTCACGAGCACTGCTCATGACAACTGTTTTATGCAATGCAGTGTGGGTTTTATGTAAGACAGATCAATAGTAAGATGATGGCAAACCATGCAAAAATGTTACAACTGTGCAACAGATGGCCCATCTATGGGCAACACTAAGGTACGGCCCACAAAAACGTATTGGAAAGTTCTTTTTGGTCTTTGTTAAGGGACAATAATTCCTTTCTTTCGTATTAACTTCTACAAGTGATGCTGATGAAAAATTAATCTCTTCTCCTTGAAAAACAAACAAACAAAACCAAAACCCCAGACCTTATTGAGGCAATTGCTCCTTCACTGAGAGTCCTTTCTACAAAAGGAAACTGTCAATCTTTACCCTGAAATGATTCCTAATTAAGAGGATTTTTTTTTTTTTAAATGAGCTTTGGACCTTTGAACATACTTCTGTGGGATAGTTCCATGGGAACTACTTCTAGGATACACCATTCGAATTCACAATGCCCTCAACAATCTGCTATGGGAAAGGATTCTTTGTTTGTTTGTTTTAATTTTGGGGGAAGGGGATGTTATTTAGAATCCATTTGAGTTCTTCACTAATCACTTCGGAGTAATTAAAAAAAAAGTAGTCAAATATCCTTTCCTGTGGATGGAATTCTTCAAGATAAGCCTGAGAAACAGGACACCCAAAGATTATATTGCTATTGTTGGAAGAAGTGCTTCTGAAAACTGGAAAAAACACTACCAATGGACTAGCTGGAACACAAAAGGATTTCAAGCATCAGCCAGAGGAAGGGCTGCTGATGTACGCTGATCCTAGTGCATCACAATTTAATGAGATTCAGAGGACCTGTTGCCTAAAAGATAATATGATCATAAGATGACAAGCACACAATAAAGCTTTAGGGCACATGGTCTCCTCTCTCTCAAGGAGGTCACCTGAAGCTAGCTAAATCAGGAAGAAACTAATACCTGTTATTTAGTTCATGAGTTATATATAAATTAATCATCTCAATTCAAATAGGTTTATTTTAATAACTAGAACCTCATTCAGCAGGCTATGTCCAGAAATTATGTGGTTTTTAGTACACATGACAAAGTAACCATAACACAGGTCAAACAACAGATATTCAGTCTTCAGTAAACATCCATTATAAACACTGCCCATTCCCCTTCCAAAGAAAGTGTTCCTGCTTGCTGTAGGAATGCTGAAACAATAGAAACATACTATCTACTTGGATCAGAAAAACACAGTATTAGCTACCAGGATGATTACAGAGTTCGATACACAGACTCGTTACTGTAATCATGAAGTAGATGGAAAGTCACAATCTACATATCCTGAACTGTCAATCTATAAAGTTTAGCAAAACAAATTTGAAAGTTATCACCTAGAGTTTGTAGTCTTACTAAAAGTTATATAATTCCATACAATAATGTAATCTGAGGGAAAGAATATCCCTTCCTTAATGAAATCATGAATCTTTAAGATAAGGATTTTGGTTTTCCAGAATCCTATTTCCAAAATCCCATTTTCATTTATACCTTTAATTAAGGGAGCAAAGATTTATTTAGCTCAGTTTGTATTAGAAGCATTGTTTCGTATAATTATGGATTTATAAGGTTACTTTACACAGAATAAGGTATTTCCCCAAAGCAGCTACAGTCTTGCCCCTGAGGTGTAGTGATAATTCAGTGGGTACGAGCAGGAGACTAGAGAACTTCCTATGGGGGTCCTAGGAGTGGAAAAGGACTTCATCCTGCACCACTGCTCAAGTGAAAGGTACTAGGACTCCTGGAAGGACATCACCACAAAGTGCTGCCTGTGACTGCAGAAAACATTTTTTTCCCTGTGTTTCCAGAATAACTCCAGGATTTACACTAATACAATTTTAGGTCCAAGTATTTATTGTTCTTACTATAAGAAACGCATTAAAATTGATCCAATGTAGGATTATTTCTTGCTGGTTTAGATCAGAAAAAAGATTGGCCCCAGGAAAACTGATTTTAAATCTAGAAAACATGACAGCTCTGATAGATTAGATCTACTACAAATATAAGGGTGGTATTTTTTTGTTTTGTTTGAAGATAAGTACTGTTTAAAGAAATTTACTTCATTTAGCCTTTCAATTAGCATGAAAGAGCAGAGTTTTTTCATTCCCAAAAGGCTCAGGCATCCATTGTAAGAAAACTAACCTCTGCCTCTTCAGTAATTAAGCACTACCAAGAAAAGACTAATACAACCAAGGGTATTGGTTATTCCCCAGAGACTATTAGAGATAGTCATATTATAGCAAACACAGCTTCATGTGGCTGCTGTATAATACCGCTGTATTATAAAGATAGGATTCTCTTTCCATTTACAACCACTGAAGGAACTGCCAAAATAAAGCTGGTGTACTGTATTTCTTTTCTAATGTGGGGGAAAGACCAAAATGTCTTCTAGCAGGCCAGTTCTCAGATATGGTTTCAATACTATTGTGGAAATAAATTTAACTAAAGAGGGAAAATTATTTTTACAAAACTCCAAAAGAGTAACAGAAAAAATACTAGTTTAAGTCCATTACTATTACCTCTAATAAATACTAAATATAAAAGTTAGTAAATAAACCTTTTATCCATCTGACAAACTTCCAACTGCACCTACAAAACAGTAACAACTTAATGTGGTGAGAAAATAGGGAAAGTTTTCTGCTCCATATGTACTACAGGAACATGTATTACTGGCACAGGTTGCCCAAGGAGGCTGTGGAATCTTATACCTTGGAGATACGCAAAAGCCATCTGGACACAGTCCTGCACAACCAGCTCTAGGTGTCGCTGCTTGAGCAGGGAGGTTGAACAAGATGACTTCCTGAAGTCCCTGCCAACCTCAACTATTCTGCAATTAGCAGTCCACTACTGGAATCTTTCCTTATTCGTCAAGGGCCACCAACACTCTGTAATAAAAAAAGAACTACAGCGGCCATGAGGCTATGGCAAATGGGGGTGCTGGTATTTAAACTGCCCGCTACTGAAATACATAACCAGTACCTTCTAATTTTGAGACATTTTGTAAGACTCAAACCAGCAGCTGAAAATGCACAAAACAGAATGAGGGTAATATCCTGATGCTCTGAAGTATCAGGAGATTTCCCCACTCTTTTCCACCGTCCACATGAAAATGTGCAGGTGACAGCTGAAAGTAAAGATAGCCGCCAGCTCTAACAAAATCGACCTTTGGAGGCTATTGATCACTGACTGTGCAAGATGAGTATCAGACGGCTGACACTGAGTTTGGCCTTCCCCTTACACCCTGAAATTACAGCCTTGTAGGGATAACCCAACACTTTGTGAATCAACCCCTGATTGATCCAGAGGATTGATTGATTCAGTCCAGCACGAGAAGCTGGACTGTCCCTGACTACTTAGCAATAGCTCAAAACATTAGCACGTTATCAATGTTTTCTCATCCCAAATCCAAAACATAGCCTCACGCTAGCTCTGTGAAGAAAATCAACTCAATCCTGGCTGAAACCAGGACAGCTATTTAAGTACAGAAGTCGAAGTTCAAAACTTCGGCCCTTCTACTGCTCAGCTCTTTTGTCCATGCCAGCCTTGTTCACAAATTGCTTATTTGAAGGAAGGATGCTTCCAGAATTTCTTCATATTATCAGAAAAAGAAGTCTGTAAGAATAACAAAAAAAAATTTCTTTCAAACTACCAAAGCTCAACTTGCCAGCAAAAGAAAGCTGTCTCTCTCCTGTTTCATTCCATCTGTTCAACTACAACACGACAGTTAAGCTTTGTATGTTGATTAACTTCATGTATGAAAGCTTTGGTCTTAAGAAAAGCAACTGTCCTGGTTTCAGCCAGGATAGAGCTGGTTTTCTTCACAGAAGCTAGTGTGAGACTGTGTTTTGGATCTGGGATGAGAAACTGTTGATAATGTGCTGATGTTTTGGGTTGTTGCTGAGCAGTCAAGGACAGTCCAGCTTCTTGTGCTGGGCTGCCAGCGAGCAGCCTGGGGGTGTACGGGGAGCTGGGAGGGGACACAGCTGGGACGGTGACCCAGACTGGCCAAAGAGATATTCCCTACAATCCGATGTCATGACCAGTACATAAACTGGAGTTGGCCGGGGGGGGCGGACATCGCTGCTCGGGGCCGGGCTGTCAATCACCACCCCGTGGTGGTGAGCAATTGCTGTATGGGGCATCACTTGTTCTTGTACATTCCTTTGTTGGTATCATCATTGTTGTTCCCTTCTTTCTTTCTGTCCTATTAAACCGTGTTTATCTCAAGCCACAAGTTTTTTTTTTCCAATTCTCTTCCCCGTCCCACTGCGGGAGGGGGAGTGAGCGAGCGGCTGCGTGGTGCTTAGTTGCCGGCTGGGGCTAAACCACAACAGCAACCCAGGTAACTTTCACAGCTGCTCCATTACATATAAACATGTTTACTAAGCTTAGCCAAGCAAGCTGTATTCCAGGACATTCAAAGAGCAAAGAGTCTCAATTGCTTTTGACAATGCTTTGATATATTCTAGATATTAAATGCTTCTCTGACAAACAATCTTGTTGAAATATGTGCATTCCTGATGTATAAGTACAAAGAATTACACTCGTGCTGTATATACTTAGCAGAAACTACCTCAAATATCTTTTACTTACTTTAATTAATGCTATACTTTCCACAGCAGCAATTCTAAAACACTGAAAAGACGGGCAAAAGAGCCCAATCTCCCACCTTTAAAAAAGGGAAGCAATTATTTTGTCTTGTTCTCATAACTTTCCCCTAAAAGCATGCATATAAGGAAGGTAGCCACCCTGTGAAGATGTTTCCAGGGTGTGGGACTGCCAATGAGAATTTAAAAGCAACTCAAAAGACTGCCTCCAAAAATCAGGTATCAGATACAAAGGCAAGACAGTTTCACATTAAACAGCACTTCCTCCATTTCCCTAAAAAAATGCAGTGTGTAAATATGTGAAAAGTTAAACTTACATGTACAGTACCCAAACAGAACACTTACCAAATGACTGGGATCACCCTTCAGCAATTGTCCAATTCAGTGATTTCTGACCTTATGCTTCTAATAATCTGGGGACCTTATACGCACTGCTAATCTTACATATGGACACATACCATCGCCACAGTTACACCAGCTTTTTTCTCCCTGCTTAATGGAGAGATTCCAGTTTGTTTTAGGAGTCTGCACGGAGAAACCAAGACCAACTCATGCCAAAACCTGGAATGAATGGCAGAATTGGTTTGCACATCATGAAATTAAATCCTCCAGCTTTGCTTGTGAAGAAACAAAGAAGCCAGAGGATGTGGACATGCAAGTTGGGTGAAATACAACTCAAAACTGATTTTAAATTATAAAGTAATGCTTGGCCATGTGAAATAAATACCCTTTTGAAATGTCAACATAGGAAAACATCAACTTCTCATCATCAGTTAAATGTACCTGTTTAAGTCTTCCTGCTATCTGTTTTGAAAATTTGCAGACTTAAATTTGAAAAAAATCCCACATTCTTTAACTACCTGGAGATGCTGCAGATTTCCAAAGTTTGCTGTCCTGAAGTGCTGCTGAATGATGTTTTGTAAACACACATCTACATGTACCATGGAATGCACTGAACAGTAATTGTACATATTCTTTCTTTACATTTTCATAGAAAAGGTATACCCGAGGCAAGTTAGACAGGTATTTCATCACAATTTATTTTGAGACTAAGACAAGCATCAAGAGTGAAGCAGAAATAGGCAGAAGAGCCTCATACTGATTATGTAAAAAATTTTTTGCCTATGCTATAGAGGAGGTAACTCAATTCCTTTTTAAAAAAGGTATTAACACTGAACACTGATGCCTAGTTATTATCCTTTGAAGGGGATCTATTATGACTTCATTATTGAAATATACATTAAATTTAACTACATTTGAGGTGCTGGAGTGTGTCCAAAGAAGGGCAATGAAGCTGGTGAAGGGTCTAGAGCACAAGCCGTATTTGGAACAGCTGAGGGAATTGGGGTTCAATCTGGAGGAAAGAAGGCTGAGGGGAGACCTTATCGCTCTCTACAACTACCTGAAAGGGGGTTGTGGTGAAGTAGGTGTTGGTCTCTTCTCCCAACTAGCAAGTGGCAGCGTGAGAGCAAACGGCCTCAAGCTATGCCAGAGGAGCTTTAGATTAGATACTAGGAAACATTTCTTCACTAAAAGGGTTATCAAGCATTGGAATAGGCTGCCCAGGGAAGTGGTTGAGTCACCATCCCTAGCAGTATTTAAGAGACATAGACATGGTGCTTAGGTACATGGTTTAGCAATGGATTTGGCAGTGTTAGGTTAACAGCTGGACTTGATGATCTTAAAGGTCTTTTCCAACCTAAATGATTCAGTGATTCTACATGTTAACATCATTTCATCAGCTATGGCTCCTAACCACAAGCTACTGTGGTCTCACTTTATTGAAGAAATAATATATTACTATCTGAAAAAAGTAGTGGTTTCTCATTTGCCATATTAACATGAAGTACCTTTGAACCTTCTTGTGCAACATTCTATATGACCAATTCAAAGAGCAACCTAATTAGTGATTACCATGCGACGACATGCAACAAGTTTACACAAATTCAAGTGTCAAACCTGTTTCACTAGAAAACCTCTGTGTAACTGGAATAAACCAAGACTGTTTTGAGTGCTCACGTACCTTTTTCCAGCTAAATTTATTAACTCAAAAGTAACAACTGACCTCTCTATATATATATCATGTCATTTCTTTAGCTCATTGTATTTACAACACTAGCATAACCTTTAACTACTCTGATAAAACTTCATTAACAGTATAAGCATTAAAAAAAAAATGAAGAAATCAGCATCAAATATAAGCTACTTTTATTCCACTACTTGGTGCATTTCAAAGGGATCAAAAAACTAGCAAGGTAGCATTGAAAACCTGGGTTGTTGCAGTCTATTCACTTCGACATCTTTAATAAGCATATCTGCTTCCCACCCACCCCACTCCACCATGATATACTGCTAATGTGAGGATGTTAGGATACAACAAGATACAGCTCCTATTTCTTTTATGGGTGTCTAAAAAATTTAACATAATTATTTGCTGAGACATGACCATGATGATTAGAGACCTAGAGAACCATAGTCCCAGAAACAGTATTTCCATAGAGACAAACTATAATTTTGCACAGTTCACAGTAAAGAAAAACTACAACTTGGAAAACAAGACTATTTCAGACAAATGACAGCTGTTGAATTCTTGTTTCTGCACTTAAAACACACACGTACCTTTTCCTAAATGTGTATTTATACTCATGTATCTAGCTGTTCCTGTAAGGCTCTTGTGTTCTCGATATGGTATGTGCTTCTTTGTTTCTGGATCTATATACTCCTTTGCCAAACCAAAATCTATAATATGAATAATTTGCTGAGTTTTGTTTCCAGGTCGTCCTATTAAGAAGTTCTCAGGTTTTACATCTCTGTATATCAAGTTCTTTGAATGGACATATTCCATACGAGAAATCTTTAATAAAAGGAAAAAACAACAGAAAGTTTAGTTTAAGCTTCAGGTTGCCACATTTAACTGCGGTGGTAGCTAAATATCTTAGATTGACTTTATATTTAGAAGAAATTACCCCTCCTATCGCCTTAAAACCAAAAGGGCTATTGGTCTTAACAAGTTATCTTCCACTTAAAGTCAATGAAAATTGTACAAGTCCTTGAAGCAGATACACCACATCGTTATTTGGAAACTTTCACATTGGACATTAGACAGGAATTAGTATATAACAGAGGTTATCTTCTTTCAGAAGAGCTGGCACCAAGTATGTTTTGTACACATTAAAACTGTAACCAGAAATCATGTTATGAAGCAGTGAGCAGCAAAGTTCCATGTAAATCTATTACATATTAAAAGTATAAATGAGAAAAGCACTTAAAGTTCACCACTATGCATATAACCTCCATTCTAGCTGGATCATTTTCTATAAAAATTTATATATTCAGAAAGGAACAGCAAGTATTAAATAAAAGCTATCTTTGGATCTGTGATAATTTGAGCATTTTAAAAAATGAACTTTCTCATTTTGGCTGTAAATAAGCTGAATATGTCTATGTGTCTATAGTTGCAGGCCTGTTATCCCGTTACAGATGTGTTTTAAACAGCTGTTTTTACCCTTATAGGTAAAAATATCACTACCTATTTAGGGAAGTGGAGGTTCGGTATCATTAACATTTCATAAGGACTTATTTAAAACACACTGTACCAAGGTAAACATGCAAAGCCTTGTTTCTCTTTCTCTGACTTTCCACTTCCACCCACCCCCAGGTGGGAACCAAATTAGAAAATCTTCAAAAAAAAGGAAAGATTCTTCACTGACTAAATCTGCACTATTCTAGTATTTCTGAAAGGGTTTGGGGCACTTTTTTTGTTTGTTTGCTTTCTTTCCGATAATGCCCAGGACAAATATTTACGCTATATAGGAGTCTCATCATCCAACTGCTTTCATGGATTACAAATATTTTTACTTCATGAAGATTTTTTTTTTCAGTTGTCAGACTAAAATTCATGATTCCAGGTTGTGATTATGGGAACTCAGAAGACACAATGAAACTACATTTATGCAATGATTCTTGAAAAACTAGAACAAAGTAAATGAAAGTGCTAAAACTGTATCACAGGCTCTTTAGAACCCACCAACACCAATTTAAAACATGGGAAGTGCAAATCTCAAGTGAAATAAGCATTTAACCCACAGAAAACTGGTTTAGTTATTCTAATAAACACTCAACATCTATTCTACTTACCAACTGTATGGCTATCATAAGAACGGTTTTAAGAGAAAATGTCCTACCACACAAGTCAAATAAATCTTCCAAACTAGGTCCAAGTAGTTCTAGCACCATAGCATTATATTTGCCACATGGGCCAAAATAGTAAACCTGAGGTATTCCATCTGTAAAATGAAGATACAAAGTAATTATAAGGGGTTACATAAGATTAATGAACATACCAATAAAATCCCTACCCAATTTCAAGTTGACCTGGTTACAAACACATTTTTCACACAAAAGCAACAATAAAAGCTCATAAAAACTACAGAAGTACAACAGGAGTAATGAAGGCAGTACCAGTTTCATTAAATATTTTATGAATATTACATGTTTGACCTGTGAAAGATTTAAGGTTTTTATAATAAATAAAAATCAGAACCTATCTCCTAGGTTTTGTAACAGGAAATTGAAACAGTATTTTAAAAAGATATGAAAAGAGGTTTAAATAAGCTCCTTTTCAAAAAAATAGGCATTTCAATTAAACTTTTTAAATTAAGACTATGACACAGCTTCAGGAATAAAACCACCTTATCTGTAGAAGTCATCTAAAAATTCGAAAGAGATTAATGAATCCTCAAGTTTAATGAGACATGAAATCAATTTTTAGATGCATCATCAAAAATACCATAGATGACAAATTGTTATAGTCATCACTTGTTAGTATTCATTTTTTTCCAAATACATGCTTCTTTTACTTAAATTTGCACTGGAAGGCTTCTCCTGTCTTCTCTTCCTCCATTATTTTTGGTTTCTGTTTAGATAGCACATAAAAGAAAACATTTTTCTTAAATGTGAGTTAGCCCATTAAAAATCTGAACACCACAAAGTGGAAATTTGTGGCGTTTTTTAAAATCTAGATTTCTAGTAAAATGCAGACTTATGATTTACTAATTCAAACCATATTAAGAACAAGGATTTTTTTAATGTAATAATATGAACAGATGACAGAGGGAATTTTTAGAAGAAGGGGGAACCTACGATAATGATTCGCCCTGATTTCATTTCTGAAGTATCACACCAGACACCACTCAACTTAAAATTCTTTCAAAAATTGATGTCCAGAAAGAATCCATTAAATTCTATTCTTATTCTCAAATCATTAAAATATTTTAGAAAAAAGATTTTTGAATGAAATACAATTTTACGTTTAAAATTTTATACTAACAAACACAAATTTTTCAGTTTTAGTTGTGTTTTGGTGGGTTGTTTTTTTACTTAGAAAATTATTAAAATAAAAATTAAGTTCAGAACAAAGCTTGCGTCATTTCTAAACAGGATATATAGGAACAAAAATATCTCACTATATGTTCAGGTAACCATCTCTTAAACACTCTGTAAACAGGTATAAAATACATCTATTTAAGAGAGCAAAAATCAAATTTAGTGTTAAAGCTACACTTGTTTTGAAGTCTTGCATGGAGTCTAAAATGTGACTGTCTCTCCGATATCTTATTTCTAAGCTTAACATCTTTCTTGATGTAAAATAAGTGTTATGTTCTCCAACACAACTGAATATGTTAATTTGCTGTTCATAAAAACTATAAAAGTGAAGACTGTACTATTGTGTGGAAGAGTTATTTTTGTGGAGTTTTCTATGTCAGCATTCCAGAAACACTTGCAGGAACAGATACTCACAGTACACATTTCCTCAGACAGCTGGTTATACCAAAGCCATAAACACCCTGAAAACTAGGGCTGAAAGTCACGTTCATTGCATTGAAAAGATTCCCTTACTATCTAGTCTGTTACCAGAATTATTGAACAAAGGTCTCCTGATGTGCACAGCTTAGACCAGCAAAACTACATGTTACCTGAAGAAATTACTTCTGTTCTTTTCCCTGAACAGGAGCATAACAAGCATGCCCATATAACAAGGTTTCTCCTGCCACAGCAGGAGAATCAGTTAAACATATTTAAACCTTTAGTAGAGACATAACCAACTTTCAGTTTAAGTTAGCAGTGCACGTAAGATCACCCACCCCTTTAATTAATTGCTGAATTAATATTTGACAAAATAAATGCAGGCATCAAAAGACTGGAAATACTCTTTAATTTTCTCATGCACTGCATTTACAATTACATTAGCAACAATGCCACATTGTATCTTCATGTTCACATACCTTCACATATACTAATATACTTTACCAATACCATGAACAGTACCTATATCACCAAAATTAATATGAAAATATTCTAGACTTTATAGCTTTATATAAACAACTACCATAAGAAGCCTGGCAATCCAGAAGTTTGAAAATTTCAGTATTTAAAGCCTTATAATCCAATTTTACTTTCACCTTTTTGTACATATGCATTGTGTGACTATGTAAATTAAAAAAACCTTGGTATCATTACGCCTATTCATCTTGCACTTCCTCATATGCACAGGACCTCTTCCTCATTCAGAATAAATTTTGTTCACTTTAAGCTAGTTGCTCCAGATTTTTTTTGCTCTTCGGTATGTATCCTCTGTGTCTCATTTATTCTAAGTATTCAGTACTCTGGGAATGTATTTTTCCTTTCATATGAGCTTTTCCTATAGTGCCCATTGTTACAATACTGTACTATACAGAACTACAAAATGTATTTTCAGAATACCATAACAAAACACTGGATTTCGCCTTCCTTCTCTGTAGATCAAATGAAAACATCCCTAACTCTGGGTGTTTTTTGAGGTACAACAAGTCTCAAGTTTTTCATACCTTTCTACAGTGCTACTTACACTCAGGGCAGAGATCCGTAATTGTGTCCACTACAGCTTTGGGTAAAAAAACCAAAAAAAAACGACCCCACACCTTACAGTTTTAGCAAAACTAAAAGCAAATGAATGCAGCATTTTAAGAGCATTTTCACTAATCTCTTTTCCTACATGTGAGAATAATGAAAACATAACACCTAAAAATCCAGTTTAACTGTTCAATTTTCTGAAGACTAGAGCTTCATTTTTTAAATATGCATAACCATACTCATATTTATACTAATATACTTAACATGCATAATGATACCCATTTCAGAAAGACCTCACAAGAGTAGTTCATTGCTACGAATGAAGGAGCATAGACCACACTGCACAGTACATCAGAACATGGTATAAAGCAGCGGTTTTAATTTCAAAAAGATCATGTCTAATTATCAGATAATGGATCAGAAAAGATGTTTGTACACATAAGGGGGTATCGTAACTCTAGAATTCAAGTTTTCTGCCCCCACTTTCTGCTATGGTGGATTACACTTGGAAATGTGGATGTGTCTGCAGAAGAAAATTAAATTATCGAACAGATGTGCAGAAACATAAGTCAAGAAAACCAACCCCAAAACACAAACCACCTGAGCATACAAAGAACAGGAAAAGCACTGGGAATTTGGAAGAAAAAGCACCACTTGTAATGGCCTGAGACACATTCTGAGTATCTCTGTTCTTGTATTTGCATGTTTAAAGACATTAACACCAAATATTCCCAGGAGAAGTTAGTCTCCTCTATTACCACTGCATCTGCTCTGTGCCTCTTCATAGTATTTTAAAATATTGAACGCACTTCGAAAATACAGAAGCCAGAAGACTTTGGGGCTTTGTCTAGATTTATAAAACTCGTTTGCATGACTACATGCTAGTAAAAGAGGAAACATTTGCAGAAAAGAATTTGTGACATTGTGAGATTGGTAGGCAAACTTGCTAATTTCAGAAGCATGTTTATAGAGGATGTGAAAAAAACACTCTTTAACAATTTATTCTACCACATCATATCATGAAAGCACCACAGCAATTCCTGGTAAGTATACATCCAGGGCAGGGAGTTGGCATTTCTGCTGTGACCAATTTCATTTTATTTAACATGGCAAGAACAGTACATAATCTACCTACAGCACTTGATCTTCTGATTAGATGAAAACTCCAGGATACATTAAAATTGTGTTTTAACATGTTAAGTCACCAATGTCTGGAAGGGAAGTATGGAGTATTAGGTCTAAAATTTCCTGTGTTTATAAAATCATTTCATATTAACAGTTCAAAGTACTAGAAGTTTGGAGGGTTGTTTCATTTTGTTTTTTAATCAAAATAGACTTGATGCTTTTGCTTAAAAACAATAACCTAACATCACTGTATTATAAATAAAAAACTGGCTGGATGGTTGGGCCCAAAGAGTTGTGGTGAATAGAGTTAAATGCAGTTGGCAGCCAGTAACAACTGGTGTTCCCAAGGGCTCAGTACTGGGGACAGCTGTGTTTAATAACTTTATGAATGATTTGGACAAGGCGATTGAGTGCACCTTCATGAGTTTGCAGACAACACAAAGTTGGGCAGGAATGTTGATCTGCTTTGAAGGTAAGAAGGTTCTGCCGAGGGATCTGGACAGTCTGGATCAATGGGCAGAGGTCAACTGTATGAGGTTCAACAAGGCCAGGTGCCACGTCCTGCACTTGGGTCACAACAACCCCATGCAACACTACAGGCTTGGGGAGGAGTGGCTGGAGAGCTGCCCGGCGGAAAAGGACCTGGGGGTGCTGGTTGGCAGCCAGCTGAACATGAGCCAGCAGTGTGCCCAGGTGGCCAAGAAGGCCAACAGCATCCTGGCCTGTATCAGAAATAGTGTGGTCAGCAGGAGTCGGGAAGTGATTGTGCCCCCGTACTCGGCACTGGTGAAGCCACAGCTTGAATCCTGTGTTCAGTTTTGGGCCCCTCACTACAAGAAGGACATTCAGTTGCTGGAGCGTGTCCAGAGAAGGGCAACGAAGCTGGTGAGGGGTCTAGAGTACAAGTCTTATGAGGAGCGGCTGAGGGAACTGGGGTTGTTTAGCCTGGAGAAAAGGAGGCTGAGGGGAGACCTTACCGCTCTGTTCCTGAAAGGAGGTTGTAGAAAGGTGGGTGTCAGTCTTCTCCCAAGTAGCAAATGATCGGGTGAGAGGAAAGGACCTCAAGTTTCACAAATGGAGGTTTAGATTGGATATTAGCAAAAATTTCTTCACTGAAAGAGTTATCAAGCATTGAAACAGGCTGCCTAGGGAAGTGGTTGAGTCACCATGCCTGAAGGTACTTAAAGGACATCTAAATATGGTGCTTACGGACACTGTTTAATGGTGGGCTTGGCAGTGCTAGCTTAACAGTTGGACTCAATCTTAAAGG